GGCTTGGGGGTTTGGGTTTGGGGTTTGGGGTTTAGGGTTTGGGGTTTAGGGGTTCGAGGGTTTGGGGTTTAGGGTTTAGGGTTTGGGGTTTTGGGTTGACACGTTTAGTGTTTAGGGTTTGGGGTTTTGGGTTTAGGGTTCAGGGTTTTGGGTTCACTAAACCCTATAAGCCCTAAACCGTAAGGGAAGGGAACTTTGCAGTCTCAGGGCGTAGAAAGTGAAATCACAACGGTTTGGGTAAGTCATTCTTTTTGAGGGGTGGGTTTAGGGTTTAGGGCCTAAGTTTAGGGTTTAGGGTTTAGGGTTTAGGGTTGCTGCTCTTGGTGGCGGTAGTGGTGATGGTCTCAGCCGGTGAGGAGCAGAATTCTGAATCAGTCCAGGGTGTGTAGAAGCTGTTCTGCCAAAATCTCAGGCCCGAACCCTAAACCCTAAACCCTAAACCCTAAACCCTAAACCCCAGGCCCAGTCCCTAAAACGCGTGATCGGACTGGGTCCCGAACTCCAAAAGCCTGAACCCCAAGCCCGACGCTAATCCCTAGACCCTAAGCCCTAAACCCTAAACCCCTAAACCCCTAAACCCCGAAACCCCTAAACCCTAAACCCTAAACTTATCAGAGGAACCCTATAAATAAAGTCCTTGACAGCCGAACCAAAGGGCCAGCTCCGAAATGGCCCAGATCCCTAGAGCAAACCCCTAAAAGTTGGAAGCCGGATTAGGGAGAATTCGTGCTGGGATTCCCTATACAGTACTCTTACGGTCATAAGGATTGAGGCTAGTGGGTTTCCTACTTTTGGGCTTCTACCGTACTTGGAGGATCATGGGACTTAGTAAGTAAGGTTATAGGTACCTTAATTGGGGTTATAAGTAATTATAAGCATAGTTACCTTAATGATAACGCTAGTTACTGAGTCCCATGATCCTTTCAGTACCGGACCTATACCCTAAAATAGGGTATCATATTAGGGATCCTACTATAACTTTACGGTATATTCCTTAATTAAGGGATATTGGAGTCTTTGGGTTTTGGGCTTCTGCCGCAACCGGCCTGAAAGCTGCCGTCTGCAGGGCAGTAGCAGCTCCTCGCATTCCGGCCCTCCAGCTGCCAGCACACGAAGACAGTGACGCCGCCTCCGGGGATCTTTTCAGGTTACCCATACGTAGGCCCCATAGTAGTTCCTTTTGGGTGGCTTATATATTTAGAAGTCTGTTAGGGAATCCCAAAAAGGAACTACTATGGGGCCTATGGGTACTTTAAGGGATACCATCAGGTTACTAGAACGGTGACTATATAGGGCTACTATAAAGCGAAGGAGTTGAAAGTGCTCAGGGTGTTTGAAGAGGTGTAGAAGATGTTTGGTGCGATGTATAGCGATGTTATACGGTGTCGTTCGCGATTTACAAGGTTCATAAAAGGGTCAGAAAGTGACTGATCTTAGTATCGATCCTGAACGGTGGGATAGTGAACTAAGCAGCCGCCAGCAGTGAATGCTCGCCTGGAGACCATGAGTATTGATCATGGTTTGAATGAAGTAGTAGCAGATTGTTGCACAAAGGGTTTGGGATGTTATTCCTTGCAATGGTGGACGTTCCTTCACCAAGTTGCTAAACCGTAAACCCGAAGCTCTGGAACCTTAAAGCCCTAAAGCCCTAAATCGTTTTCAACAGCCCAGCCTGGTCTGTCAATGTTTCGCCTATCTGGTTGCGGCACAGCGCATGGGCTTGCGATTTGCTGATCAGTGCTGGTCCTGCAGAGCAGGACCGGCACTGGTTGCCGAAGTCTTGTCTTGATGTTGCAGATTCCTCTGTTTTTTGATTATAGCGCCCTTTAGCATCGATTTTTTGTTGGTACATTCTTGTATTATCAGCGCGGATGATGCTTCATAGAAAGCCCTTGTCCATTGCAGTCCCCATGAGTAGATGTATGTATGCCTCTTGTACCATCATTCCCTGAGGCTCCAAGTACCTAACGATCATATGCTCTCCTAGAAATTAGCTTAGATATCTACTATCCGCAGCCAAAGTACCTTATTAATGGGTCCTTTGGACCCTAAACCCTAAACCCTAAACCCTAAACGTCCTTTGGACCCTTAGGGATTAATGCTTCAGATTTGCTACACCATGTGTTGTCCAGAGCGGTGCGCATCACAAGAGTGAGTGTCAGGACTCAGAGCGTAAGCTTTAGGGTGTTGTAGCGCTCTTCCAAAGTATTGTCATTCCCTAAGGGTCCAAAGGACCCAATAATGAGGTACTTTAGTTGCGGACAGTAGTTTTTTAGGTTAATATTTGGGAGAGTATATGATTATTAGGTACTTGGACCCTTAGGGATTGTTTATTAACATATAATTCCAAGGGCTTCTTAACATTCATATGCTGTTTCAAGAAAAAGGTTGGACGCTTGAGTGGGGTTTGGGCTTTGGTATTGTGTCTAGCAGGCCCCTCTCAACGAGAAGAATACAATTAATGCTCAACCGGACTCCCAAACCCTATGCCCTGGACCCCGTCTGGCTGAGCAAGACATTGCTGAGGCATGAAATTAATGCACAGGCTTCTCGAGAAGCATCATGAATCTAGCGACAGCTTCTGTGAAACGCACGGGCTCTCTTAGAATCGAAGGAGCTGCAAAAGGGGCAATGATACGACTTTCTCAAGAGGTCCCGGAAAGACAATATAAATGGAGGGATCCCAGACCTGTAGTACAACGACCCAAGTGCATTGTATCCCTCCACAGAACTCTATGTGGCATTCCCGTTCGCACTTCCGTTGAGAGTCTATTTCCCCAGCCGCACGTGCAAGTCAAGAATGCTAGCTAGTCTAGAAACTTCCAGAGCCTCGATAAGACGCCACAGGCCTTGCTGTGGGCCCCGTGCTCTTTGTCTTTGTCTGAGAAAGCAATACGAGAAGGGGCCCAGAATTCTGACCCAACACATCCCAAAACTGCGCACCCCTGAATCCCCTGAACCTGAGGTAATATCGGGGCCTTAATAATTTCAATAGGGCTTGGGGGTATATGACACTATGTTTCTATAATGCTATAATGAGGACACCCCCCCCCACCCCCCAAAAAAACAAAACATATTCTAATTCTTAAGGCCCCTACATTAGGGTTTAGAACGGCGTTAAGCCCTCAACCCCCAAACCCTGAACCCCCGATCCCGGTACAGTATCCCCTATAAACCCCTAAACCCTGAAGCCTAAAACCCATAATCCCTAAACCTCATGTAGACCCTGCGCCCCCAAAACGGAGGGACCCCAATCGTCGGTTCTTTTTGGGGGTTGAACTGCCATAATATGGGGTTGTTTAGGGTTTAGGGTTTAGGAAATAATTTCCAATACTATTGTGGGGAATTCCTTTCTCTAAGTATACGTAGCATAATGGGCCCCCAAACCCTATTCTAATTCTTAAGGCCCCCTACATTTACGATGTAGGGACACCAATGTTTTGGGGTTTAGGGCTTATATGTAGGGTTTTCAGGCCTTCTGCGCAGAAGTGTCGTAGTACTGGAAAATTATGCTATGTAGGGTTATAGGTTCTAGGGTATAGGATTTAGGGTTTAGGGTCTAGGGGCTTTTGGGCAGAAAAAACGCACTATGTGGTTACCTCAACTTCCGCACATTGGTGATTAGGGTCTATGCTTTTCAGGTTTTAGTGTTTAGGGGTTGAGGTTTAGGGTCTACCAGGACCCCCCAATGGCCCTTTAATAGAGCCCTTATGGTCCTTAATAGTGGGTATTTAGGGTACAATAGAGGGTAGACCCCCCAACTACCCTCTATTGTACCCTAAATACCCACTATTAAGGACCATAAAGGGCTCTATTAGAGGGCCATTGGGGGGTCCTGGTAGGGTTTATAGGGCTTAGACCTTACGGCTTGCCTGGACCCTGAAGAACCCAACTTTTCAGGCTTAGGGCTGTGCATCATGTTTAGGGTCTAGGGTTTAGGGTTTAGGGTTTGGGTTTGGGTTTGGATTTGGGGCTTAGGAGTTACGGCTTAGGGCTTAGGGTTGAGGTTTGGGTTAGTACTACAAGAGCTTGAGCTGTGCTTGTTTGCTGCTTAATGTTAGGGTCCCTTTAATAAACCCCCCCCCCCGAGGGCGTTTTGCGCGGGGGTCTCTTGGGGCAGGGTTTGGGGGGGGGGG